TTGTACCCAATTGGTGTACACTTGGTATCGAACTGATATCCCATTGGAAAAATTGAACAAAACATGTAATTGAGATTTCAACTAAATTAGTCAACCTAAAACTAGTTAATTTGTACCCAATTGGTGTACACTTGGTATCGAACTGATATCCCATTAGGAAAATTGAAAAAAACATGTAATTGCGATCTCAAATGAATTTGCCAGCCTACCAACAATATTCATGTTTCATTCCGATACCAACTTCATTTTATAAGTAGTTATAAATTAATTATTTCACATAATTTATACAAAAATAAAATCAATATCATATCAACATTCATACACTATATATAAAATTCAATTCAAACCAATATTATTCATGTACATAAATTTTAATAAAACAGTATGCCATATTTGAAAAAAAAAATCAGACCAATATTATTCAAACATCATACCAGATTTCATGTGCACTGTGGCATTTAACAAACGACACTAAAATCAACTAATTGGGCTACTGATATCAAACCAATTTCATACCAATATCAAATAACACTTCATACCAGTTGAATACCAACATTCCATCACATTTCATACAATATTCATATATCATATATTAATGTCATATTCATACAAATATTATTCAAATTTCGTACAATTTTCACATCAATATAAGTTTCGTAACAACAATAATCATAATACAATATTTTTAACACAAAAAATACTAAATTGAATAATTAAAAAATAAATTAAATAAAATACTTATCCTAGCCACGTTTTTGCCTTTTTTTGAAATTGGGATTTCTGAGCCCTCCTTCCTTGTTGTTCTTCTTGTTAATTGGTTTTGAAGATTGACCAATTTCGACATTTGTTGCTTTTTTGTTTTTTTCTTTTTAATCTTACTTACAAAATCTGAATCCGAATATGAAACAGAATGAGTCGCTTCTACAATTTTCACCTTCCTCTTTTTTCCCTTTTGATTTGCATGACTAACTGTTTTCTTTGCTTGACTAATCTTCGACTGAGAAGAAGCATCTTTTACCAGAATTTCATTATTTATTGGCATTGCAGCACTTATCTCTAGTTCAAGAGAAGAAACCTTGGCCAACGCCTCTTCTCAAGCTGCCTGCTACCGACAACAAAAGAGTTGATAGAGAGAACAAAAGAATAGAAAGAAAAAACCAGAATTCATAACTGACATTCTTTCCTGCACATATAATTTTTAAAACATGTGCTAATTTTAACTTCTAGTGGGGCACAAGTAAGCATTCACTTCTTCCAATTATCAAACATAACAAAAAATTCATACAGAAAGGAAAGTATGTTATCTTATTTTTTTCCTTCCACATCCATGGGGCTCAATCGTGAGTTCTGCTGATTTTCTTTTTTAATGAAGAAGACGAACGTTGAAGATGGTGAGAGAGAAAAAATTAGTTCTATGTAAAAGAGGAACGCGGAGATGGGGGTGGGGGGTGTGAAAATTGGGGAAAAAAATCTCTAAAATGGTGTAAGAGATAATGACAATTAATTCTCTATTAATGTTATCCCTAAAATGGTGGAAGAGATAATGACAATTGATTCTCTAATATTAATGTTATCTAAAATGGTGTAAGAGATAATGACAATTGATTATCTTATTTCTCTTACTTATTAATTGTAAGGTAATTATAAAAATAATAACTAATTAATTAAATCAAATAAATTAAATTATAGATTAAAAATAATCTGTTAATACTTGTAATTAAGCTGTTATAAGTAGTAATATAAAAAAAGTACATCTAAAGACTGTAATATTAAGCCTTAAATAGATATGTGGGGTGAATTTTCCTACTTATATTATGAACTTGGCCCATTAATCACCCACTAATAAAATTTAATTATTTAATAAATACCATCAACTAAATAATCAAAATTATCAATTTGATTTGATTCATAAAGTTATTTTTAGAGAAAATTGTGAGAGAATATTGATGGGAAATATATTAGAAAGAAGATTCGCAAAGAAAAAGAAATTAGGAAAGAAAAAAGAGAAAATATTGAAGGGAGATATTTTAAGAAGAAAAATTAGAAAATGGAGATTTCTTTTGTGAAAAAATTCTTTTATATATTTCTTCCTTTTCCAAAAGAAAAAATTAAAAGAAGTCACCAACTAATGTACAGCCTTGTACATATTAATAGTGGTGTTAGATATATACCGTGAATCTATAAGATACTGTGTTGAATATATTGAGAATTAATGGATTATATGAAGTTTTGTAAATTTCAAAACTTTAGAACTTGTGTTTTCGTGTGTTTAATTAATAACTAACAGGATTTTAAAAAGGAGAAAGGCTCACATATGACATTAAGCTTTGAGAAAGGACTTATTTGTGTCATTCGTTAAAAGTTTTGGCTCATTTATGTCATTTTCGTTTTAAGAAAAAAAATTTATCCATGCCATTATTTGTTAACTGAAATGACATAGATGAGTCAAACATTTGACGAATGACATAGATGAGCCTTTTCTCAAAGTTTGATGGTATATTTGAGCCTCTTTCCTTTTAAAAAAATAATTCAATTAATGACGTGACCAAATCATAATTGACCACATGTACAAAATGGTTTTGCAAAAATCAAAAATATTTTTAGTTTACAAATAATGGCATGCTAAGTATTTTTTTCTCAAACAGAAATGATATAGATGAACCAAACTTTTAACGGATATCATAGATAAGCCTTTTCTCAAAGTCCACATCTCATTATTTATCTTCTTTTTCATTCAAGAACCCTAATTTTATAAAGGGTAATGCTAAATGGCCAGAAAATTTGGTCAGATTTTGGTCAGAAAATTAAAAAGTCTATAATATTTTTTATATTTTAAAATAAACTAATCTTTTTTCCATTTTTTAATTAAAGGATATTAAAGTTAAAATGGTAAAAATATTCAAAAAGATAAAATAATATAGGTAAAATACCATTCTAGCCAAATTCTGACCAAATTTTCTGGCCAAAAAGATTTTTCCTTATATAAACTTTGAGTTATTGGTTCCTATCCACATATTTTTTCATGCTTAATTATTATATTTTTTTGGTCTTAGCTTGAATAGGAAAAACGTGTCTATTGAGAAGCCATTATTGGATGTACGTTTGGAGACATAGCTTTAATGTCTTTTTGTCATTTTCTTTCTCCTGACCAAAATATAGAAGATTTATATATATTTCTTTTAGGAAAAGTAAAAATCAAATCCAGTATATTGGGTTTTGGGAAGAGGGTGAGGAGGTAATGCTCTCCCTTATAAAAGAGATTTCGTATTGAGGGGAGTCTAAACTGAGACCTCTGATTAAAAATAGAGGAGTATTTATCACTATATCACATCTTTGTTGTAGTCATTAATTAAGTCATCTTAAAATATTATATTTTTATCTTAATTATTGACACTAATATAAGTGATTTTACCATGAGTTGCATAAAATTATAAATTCATTTAAACAAAAGGGTTTAAATGGAAGATGAAAATATGTCGATTATCAAGGAATAAAATATATAGTATATTAAAAAGGGCAAATTAGTCATAATTATAATTCTTCATATTAATAATTAATAAGTGAAATGAATTGTTACCAAAAACTCAAAGTAAGAGAGGTAAGTGTAATATAGTTAAAACACAAGAAAGGTGAGTGTTATTGAGTCAAATATGAGGGGAGGAAAACTATGTAAACTTTGACTAGTTGTATTTTAAAATAATTATTTTTATCATATCGACAGGAGAATGAATTACAACTTATAAGAGTATTTTTTTATATAATTTTCAAATATCTAAAAAAGTGTTACGTTAATTGAAACGGTGAACACTATTCACATCATTCCTATATTATAATGCTCCATTTTCTTCAATTATGCAACTCAACCACAACATGAAGAAATTTGCCTTCTTTCTTCTTGTGATTTTTCTACTTAAAATAACAATTTATGTTGAGTCCCAAAGTCCAGTTTTCTTGAAGTAATTATTGTCATAGCTCAGATCAAGTAATTGACCTACAATTGTTCATGTTTAGCTTGGTGTCATTGACACAAGAATAAATTATGAGTTTAGTATAAATTACAAAATAACAGTTTCTGTTGAGTCCATAGTGTTAAGAGCAAATTACATTATATTCCTATTCTTTTTTCAAATTACAGAAGTTCCTTAAATTTGATGGAATTCAGATATATCTCAAAGCGTTCTGATACATCGCGTTCCAATTTCGGATACATCACTCAACATCTTGATGTATCGTGTCTTGATTTTGAATACTTCACTCAATGTACTGATACATGACATACGTGATGTATCCGACCGAGACATGGCGTAAAGTGTAAAGTGATGTACCTCAAAATAGGAGAATGTAGAAATTTTTATAATTTTTTCAAATGGTAGAAAATTTTAGAAGGTATGATAAAATAAATTATATATTTAAGTAACTTTTTGTTAATCCATTGTGCAACAAGTAAGAACCATTCTAAGCACATAGCCCAAAGAAAAAGTTGGTAGTCCAAACATATTGAATGAAGTAATGATAGTCAACATAACAGAAACTTACAATGTCAGGATTATATTTTGGGAATCTTTCGCATAGCCACTCAAAATAGCTTAATTATGTTCCATAGCTATAATTTGCTAATTACGGTTCGTAGCTATATGTTATAGGGAGGAGAGTGACGAGTGAGACTGGAGAGGGAGGAGAGAGGCGATCGAGTGAGAGAGGGCAGAGAGTGGGAGAGAGGCAAATTATATATGTATATGAGTATATCTATCAAAATACAATTGTATATATGTAACTAATATACATATATTTTTGTATATCTGGCGAGCGAGACTGGGAGAGGGAGGAGGAAAGCGAGCGAGATTGGGAGAGGGAGGAGAGAGGCGAGAAAGTGTTGATAACCTAACAACTATTCACATCACTCATTACATAATGTTGTTGAACTCTCACTCCATTTTCTTCAATGCAACTCAACCACAACATTAAGAAACTTCTTCAAAGATTAGTCAAATCAACTCTCGAAAAAATTAAGATGTGAGAGAGTGTTGATAACCTAACAACTATTCACAGCGCTCTCTATATATTGTTATCTAGTTCTCACTCCATTTTCTTCAAATAACAACCACACAACATGAAGAAACTTCCCTTCTTTCTTCTTGTCATTTTGCTACTTGAAATAACAATTTCTGTTGAGTCCCAAACTCCAGCACTCTTGAAATATGTACTTCAATGGCCACCTACTTTCTGTATTCAACTTAATTCCAAAGAAGAAAAATTGTGCAAAGAACCAATTCCTCAACGACAATTCACACTCCATGGTGTTATGCAAGCAGATGAAGATGGATTTAACATAAAATGTGACTATAAAGATCCAAATGATTTGGATAAGCTGGTATAATTAATACATATTAAGAGTTTAAGTTTTCTGCACTGACAATATACTTCCTTATTCATGTGTTACATGTAATATATTACATTTTTATGGCATTGTTGTAGTTGGAAGAAGTCGAAGGTGATCTAGTAAAGTTCTGGCCATCGCTTAGAGAAGACTTTAATGAAACTGAGTTATGGAAGCACGAGTGGCGCGTCCATGGATCATGTGGAGGAACAACACCTCACGAGTACTTCTACAAAGCAATAATGATGAATGATTTTCCTGAACAAGGCAACTTGTATAATTACTTGGAATCAAGTGAGATTATTGCAAGTGATAACTTGGCTTATACAAAACAACATATTGTTGAGGCTATACAAAAGTTGTTTTATGATAAACCACATAATGTTTACATCTCTTGTGTTCCAATTGATTTATATAACAATACTCATGTTTACTTGAGTGAGGTTACTTGGTGCACTGAACTTGAAGGTGTTCATTACATTTCATGTCCATCAAAAGCTGATCCAACAAGTTGCCCTAAAGATGCCCTAATTATGCTCCCTCTGCCAAAAGAGCAAGAGTAAGTTATTCGTACTCTTTATTTAATTATATTTTAATTGTCCATTAGGAGTTTGAGATTCTAAATTTTAGGACAGCATGTTGATAGTGGGGTTCGAATTCACAACACTAGTGTAAAAAGTATTTTCATCACTCATCCTTACTACTTAGTTGTCAATAAATTTTGTTAGGGATGCACAAGTTAATATACATATTTATTTATTTTATTTTCTAATACAAATACAGAATCTACCACAAGCCCCTCCTAGCTCCGCATCTATGTTCAAGAAAAGAAAACTTTTGAAATTTCTGATTTGCAAGCTAGCTAGCTATAGATAATTCTTATTAAGGAAATTATATTTGAATTTTTTAATGGATTAATAATTGAAATGAGTATGTATGACTACTATTTGAAGTTAAACTGGGTATGTTTGTTGTTTAAAGTTGAATTGGAATATTAGATTGATTCAGTATTTCAAAATTTAAATTTAGATATTAATAATAATATGTAAAGTATTACTATAAGTTGCAATTTTCTGATGTTAATATTATGAGAAAATGTATTTTTAAAATATTAGTTAAAGTTTGTATAGTTTGAGTTTCCAAAAGCAAATAATATTGTATAAATTGAGAAAAAAGGGAGTACATAACTATGTATTCATATGCCTACACTTATATTAGTTAACTATGATTAATTAATACATATGAATCTCACTTAAAGGACTATATACTAAGGTTAAATTATTTGATCTAATATAATCATTGATCTAATATAATCATCAAGTTCAGATAAATATTTACTGATTTAACTTAATATATTAATATTTAATTATATATTTCTTTGTAGGTTGGATCCTCCGTTTGCTATCATGGCTGAATAAAATATTCAACGGCTGAGATAAATGCTTGGCTTTGAATTATTATAATTATTAAAAAAAAAGAGAGAGAATGGAAGATGTTGAAGCAGACGTGTTAAATTAATGCATAATTATATATGCAGTTTTATATTGAATAAAACTTTATTCTATTCTCCTTTTTTACATTGAGTTGCAACGTACTCGAGTCAAAATTTAGTACAATATTCATGTTTGTTTAGAGTCTGTTTGACATTGTTATTGGGAGTCTCAGAAATACTTATTTTGAGAAAAAAATATTTTTTTTGAAAAAATTAAGCGTTTGACAAACCTGTAAAAGTGCTTTTAAATTAAAAAAAAATAGAAACAGTTTTGGGAATAAACTAAAAATTTCTACTTCTTAAAAAAAAGCGAAAGCAGAATTTTTTTTTTCTTTCAAGACTAAAATGTCTCTAATATATATAGCTTATTAATTAATTAACATAGTTCCATTTAATAATTTTATTTTTTATTTTTATATAATAAATTTTATATTTTATTTTCCATTTACGTATTATTTTAGGAAAAATCACACCATATACAAATTTAAGAGATAATATTACGGGTTTTAAACATACTTTAAAAATATTCTTACTTATAACAGTTTATTTACGGGTTATAACATATCAATTAAATTTAACTTTATTTAAAAATTAATTAAAATTTAATTTAATAAATGATTAATCTCTTTATATTTTTATATTATTAATTATTAATAGTTAATTAATTCGAATGCAGTTCCTTTTCTAAAACATAAATTATCAGTTACACAAATTTAGGGATTGACATTGATTAGAGTTCCTTGATTACTGTTACATTCCAAACCTTCCATTCACATTAATCCCACCCCCACCCCCCACGCCTATCCAATACTACAGTAATCGTCCCTCCCATCTTTCTCACCACCCCACTACCTCACATTCACAATCGTCCCTCCCATCTTTCTCACTACCCCAACTTCAAAACCGTCCCTCCCGTTCCATTTCTCATCATCATCATGTTGAAGAAAACGATTGTAACGCCTTGAAAGAGTCCTCGATTAGTTTTGGGAATAAACTAAAAATTTCTACTTCTTAAAAAAAAGCGAAAGTAGAAAATTATTATTTTTTCAAGACTAAAATGTCTCTAATATATATAGCTTATTAATTAATTAACATAGTTCCATTTAATAATTTTATTTTTTATTTTTATATAATAAATTTTATATTTTATTTTCCATTTACGTATTATTTTACTGTCACGGTCCCAAAATGGACGTGATGGCACTCGTCTTATCCCACCAAGACAAGTCACCCTAAAACTCAACCATTACAATAAAATATGGAAATTTCATAATCAACTCAAAAATATCCCCAAAATCTGGTTGTCACGTGTACAAAGCTCTAAAGCATTACAATTGATTCAAAAGAAAACACAAGTCTCAAATGACCTTGTTTCTAGCTAGAATAGAACAAGATCATAATTAAGAAGAAAAAAGATCTGCTGAAATGACAAGCAACTTCCTCACAAACCTCCACAAGAAGCCTCGGAAAAGGAGAAGAGAAAATATCACAAAGGTCCGGGCTAGTAACCTAAAAAAAATATCCCCAAAATATTTCATTAATAGCATTCAAAAATGTTCGTTAAACATAAAATTGGGGAAAAGAGTTCGGAAAATAAATTACAAAACAAAGTACAAATAAAGTAATCCCACGCAGGGGATGATAACAAACTCTAAGCTCATCCTGATCCTTCACCAAGTCTGGTCCTCTTGGCAATGCTGACCTCTTCCCACATAGCATATCTGTTCGCCCATAGGTGATCTCTAGCCAACCGAGCCCCTTCTTGATGTCTGAACCTTTCAACCGACTGAATCTGTTGCTCCATGCTATTATCCAATTCTGACATGCATTGTCTGGCTCTTCATCCAATTCTGACATGCATTGTTTGGCTCTTCGTAGCTCTTTCTTCAACTGAGCTATGATTTTGGCATCTTCTGAATGTCGGTGCTGGTGATCCAACTCATTCTTATCAAACCTCTCTTGAAGTCGATGAAGTCGGATTTGATGTTTGGCTCCGACATCTGCAATAACATTGGGAACATTTGGACCAAGCTCGATAGTTCCGGCGAGGCTCTTCTTTAACCATTCTTTGTGATCCTTAGAACATTCGGGACGGAACCTGTTTGGTACCGGTTCACCCAATATCCTTCGGGTCTTCCATGCTCTACGTATGTCTTCAGCAAAAGAAACTCGTCCATTTTCATGATCGGTTACAAATTTCTTCATGTCTGAAATTTGGGGAATCTCCTGTTTCCCTCCCAGTTGTCTAAGTACTCGACCGGGAGCATATGGTCTAGTCCCTCTTAACCCGGCAAATATCAAGTAAGGTGTTTTTTCTGCTCGAATCACCATTTGCTTTGTTACTACCAAGCATTGGATCGACCACTGCACATTTTCATCTCTCAGACCCTGAAGTCTCGGGTACCAAAATTCTTGGCCTCCAACCCTGTTGAAATGATTACGTTGCACCCACCAATCGTGACTTTCGAGTCTGTTCGGTCTTTCTAAGGGATCTGGTTCTGTTGGCTCGTGAGCTTTGATCAAGTGTCTCATCATCCACCATTGCAGTATCAGGTTGCATCCCTGAAAGAAACGTTCTCCGCTTTGACACTTGTCCAAAGCCCTATAAATGTCGGCCAAAATCATGGGCGCCAAAGTGTAGTACTTGATTGCTGATCCGTAACCCACTCCATAAAAGATAGCATGAGTGACCATTACTACATTTGGATGAATAGTATAGTTTGGTCCTTGGGGAAACACCATCGTCCCAAGTAGGCATATTACAAAGGCAAGAGGACGTGTCTCTTTCCATTTTTCTTCTGAGACAAACTCTTCTTTGAACTTTTCATAGGCTCTTGCACGTCCGAATCGGTAATAAAACTTTCGAAGTGGAATGTTTGGCCCGGGCATTCTGTCCATCCAATCGGCTTTGACGAGTGACAGTTTTTCTCTAATTTCGGCAAAATCCCATGTTTTGGGGAAAAGGAGATCTGTATCGGGTTTGAACCTTCTTTTGTTGCACATACTGACACTTTCGTAACTTGCAAGGATTTCTTCAATAGTCGGCGTCATTTCCACTTCCCCGAACCGAAATACCATGTTGTCGCTGTCCCAAAATTTAACCATTGTCCCAATCAAGTCGGGATAAGCCACCATTTCCATTAATGACGGGAGATGGCCTATGTGTCTTTGGACTATCTTCTTATCTTCTGTGTTCATAAATTTCCACCAAACTTGTAGGTATGGATGTGGTATGGTCACCATTCGAGTTCTCAGAGGCGCATGTACTAGATTCATCCTACAAGAAAAACAAAAAAAA